AGAGGCTATTATTAGTTTCTGTCACTGCATCTATCAGTTAGGAGGTGGGTTCCATCGCTGGTACCAAAGACATGAAGGCAGTGGCTTACAATAATTTATTTTCTAATGTAAAAGAAGAGGTAGGTAGTTCAGGGTTAGTGTGGAAATTAGAGAAGGCATCAGGATCTAAACTGCTTCTGTCTCACCACTCCACCTTCCTGAGCACCTGACTTCCATATTCAAGGTACTCTTGCGCCTGGAGCTCCAGTTTTGTTTAGCTCCAGTCTAAGCAAGAACAAAATGGAAGGGCAAAGACAAAGTCAAAAGAAATCTGTGGCAAAAAGTCTATGCAAGCACTTTTATCTTATTGGCTAGAATTTAGTTACATGGCCATACCCAGCCACACTAGAGACAGAAAAAAACATTCTTTAAATACAACATTTTTATGCCCCTTGATTTCTGTTACTAAGCAGAAGGGGAGGATGATTACTGGGTAGGCAACTAGCACTTCCTGCTGCAGTTCCTTTTGGATTTTCTGTTCATGATGTCCCAGTGCTTGGCATTAAGTTGTCCTTAGAATCAATGAATAAAACATTTTTAGATAAATCAAGCAATTCATACCATGTTGGGTTTTTAAAATTAATTGACTTTATATGTAGAGCAATTTTAAGTTCACAGAAATTCAAACAAAGTACAAAGAGTTCCCATATACTTTCTCCTTTTCCCCAACCTCATATTCTTAACATCTTGTACTTAGTACATTTGTTAGAATTAATGAAACAATATTGACATGTTATTACTAACTAAGGTCCATACTTTACGTTAGGGTTCACTCTTTATGTTGCACTCTATAGATTTTGACATAAATAAAGTAGCATGAATCTACCATTAAGGTATCAAGGTCTTATACAGAATAGTTTCATTGCTCTAAACAATCCTCTATGCTTCATCTATTCACCCTTCCCTTCTACCTCTAGACCCTCTGGCAAGTGCACTTGTCTTTTTACTGTTTCCATTATTTTGCCTTTTCCAAAAAGTCATATCATTAAAATCACACAATCACACATACTCCCAGACTGGCTTCTTTCACTTAGCAATATGTACATAGAGATTCTCTCTTTTGTGACTTGACAGATCATTTATTTTTAAAAAGATTTATTAATTTATGCATGCAGAACTGGGGTACAGGCCAGAGGTGCAGGAGTGGTGAGAGAATTCATAGGGACAGAGTGGGGAGCAGAACAGGCCGACTGACGAAGTACACTGTTGAGGCAGGAAGCGGGCAGATCAGGAGAGGTCTGCCGCGCCATGTGGATCACCTTTGGGGCAAGGGATCAAATTCATGGTGAAGTGGCTTTAGCTTCTTAGTGCTGTGCTTTAACCTGCTGCACCACCAGGGAAGGCCCAGATCATTTATTTGTATCACGAAGATATTCCATATCATAGAACACTAGCTTTGTTATCTATTGACCTGCTGAAGAACATCTTGGTTGCTTCCAATTTCTGTCTAAAGCTGTTATAAACATTTGTGTGAATTTTTTTGTGTAGACTAAATTTTGAAACATTTGGATAAATACCTTAGGTGCATGACAGCTGACTTGACTGCTAAAACTATGTTGTCACAGTTTATAGCAGACTAACAAACTATCTTTAGAAATGGCTGAGCCATTTTTCATTTCCATTACCAATGAAAGAGAATTCATCTTTGCTAACATTTGGTGTTGTGTCTGAATTTTAGCCATTCAAAGAAATGTAAAATGATATCTCACTGTTTTAGTTCACAATTCTCTAAAGACCCGTGACACTGACCATTTTTCACATTTTTGTTTGAACATCTCATATCTTCTTCAGTGAGATGTCTATTAATATCTTTCATCCATTTTCTTTTATTGCTGCATTTTGAAAGTTCTTCATATAGTATGGGTATGTCTTTTATTAGATTTACATCTTGCAGCCATTTCCTCCCAATTGTGGTTCGTATTTTATTCTTTCATCTATGATTTCTTTTTTGGCATAAAGTTTTTCATCATATTTTCTAGTTTCTTAAATCTTTTTTGTATTTGTTATGTCCTCCTTTTTAGTCCTAGTGCTATTGATTTATTTCTATTTTTCTTTTACTTGGGCCAATCTCATAGAACTGTTTTATCAGTCTTTTTAAAGTTCTGAATTAGTTTTTTTCTGATATATTAAGCTTATATATCTGCAAGTAAGTCTAATAAAAGACTTATCCATACTATACAAAGAATTTTCAAAATGCAACGATAAAAGACCCCCATTAGAAAGTGGATATGAAAGATACGAATACTTCACTGAAGAAGATATATGATGCCCAAGTAAATGTGAAAAGATGGTCAGCCTCCCAGGTCTATAATTGCAAACTAAAACAACAAGATATCACAGCACACATAAAATTTAGTCTTTCTTATTTTCAAATGTATAAGCATTTAAGGTTTTAAATTTACCAGTATACCAAACATTTTCATAACCACTCAAATCTAATATTATAAAGTTCCAATGGAATTTCTTCTTTGATCTTCATTTATTAAGAATTTTCAATTTCCGGGAGCTCTTTGGTGGCGCAGCGGGTTAAAGCACAGCACTATGAAGCTGTCTGCAGGCACTGCAGCATGAGTTCCATCCCCGCCCACCCTGGAGGTGACTCACATGGCGCCGCAGACCTCTCCGGACCCACCTGCTGCTCCCCTCAGCAGTGTACTTC